CTAAATTTATCGCCTCAAAATCAAAAAAAATTGGAATAATATAAATGAGAAATAAACAAGAACAAAAATAAAATAATGTTTACCCCCAAACCTAATCTCTATCGGCACCACTGAGTAGTCGTGAATATCCCCATGCACACACTTTATACTCACCCGGGATGCCTCCACCAATGCCCCGTGTCGAACCAGTCTCTGGTGGATCATAGACTGCGTGCAGCCAGAGTCCACCATCGCCTGATGTATACCCCCCTGGATCCTTACCGGAACGCTGTACGTCGCTCCCAGACCGGGGGAGGGTGCTGGAGGCCCGGCAACCCGCACCGTTTGGCCCACCTCCATTAGCGGGCACTCCCGCCGGTAGTGTCCGGGCTGCCCGCACCTCCAACACTCCTGCCCTGGCGGTTGAGGAGCCCTCTGTAGGTCAGGGAGGGTGCCGGCCAGGCCGGGTGGATCAGTACCCCGTTGAGGGGCTAGGGCGCGCGGGGACGGAGGGGGCCGAGTCGCAACAGGCCGCGGGGAACTCCGTCGTGGCGCGGGAACGGGCTGCGTCGATGCGGTCGGCCGACCGCCCTCCCCACGGCCCCCGGGGTGCACCGCCAGGTGGTCCTCGGCGAGGGTCACGGCGGCTTCCAGCGTCGCCGGCCGGTGGTAGCGGACCCAGGCCGCAGTCCGCGGCGGAAGACCCTCCAGGAACTGCTCCATCACCACCTTCTCCACCACCGCCGGCGCCCCTCCCGCGCCCTCCGGCTGCAGCCACCTGTTGGCCGCGTCTGTGAGTCGCTGGGCAAATGGGAACGGGCGGTCCCCCGGCCCCAGCCTCGCCTCTCGGAACCGCCTCCTATGGTCCTCGGGGGAGAGCCCCAGTCGATCCATGATGGCCTTCTTCACGCTGGCGTAGACGTGCCTGGGACCGGGTGGCAGGCCCAGGGCCGCTGTCTGCGCCTCCCCGGTTAGGAGCGGCAGGAGGCGGATCGCCCACTCGTCCGCCGGCCAGCCACACGCCCCCGCCATTGCCTCGAACATCTCCAGGTATGACTGTACGTCGTCCTCCGGGGTCATCTTGTGCACCACCACGCCCGCATACGCCGAGGGACCCGGCGTCGTTGGGGAAGCGACCGGTCGGGCCGCCAATTGCTCCAATACCTGGGTCTGCCGGTCTGTAGCAGCCTGCAGCGCCCCCAGGAAGTGCCGGTTGGCCTCGGCCTGCTCGCGCTGCATCGCGGCGATCTCCCCCAGCATCCGTCCAAGCGCAACCGCCGGCTGCATCAGGCCCTCTCCGAGGTCGTTCGCGTCCATCCTTAGCCAGGCGCCACTGTAGCCGTGATAGCGCTACCACCGGTGGGTTCTTGTAAAGACGCACGACACAGGATGAGGGTAACCAGACTTTTATTGTCCAAAAGGGAAGACAGTGAGCAGGAATGAGTTCGCACTATGCGCGTGGTCGGTTTCGCCTTGTCCGGCTCCGCTCAGCTCTTGTGCTCTGCTCGCAGGCTCCAGCTCTCTTCCCCCGACCTGGATCCTGCTCACTGCTTAAGTAGGAGAGAATCAGTGCAGATCATTTACACCTGGTTACTCCTCATCTACCAGCACCGTCCCCTGAACCACTCCCCCGCTCTCCCCCCTGCAGCTGAGCTAACCACGCCCCTCCACCACAAACAGTAAATGTATCATATCTTTAATATTCAAAAAACTAGCTTTTTGATTGTACACATGTAGAACATTTGGGGGGGGGGGGGGGGGGGGGCTCAGGTTAGTCTCACCTGCGTCGGCCCAGCACAGCTGCTGGCCTTCGTGGTCAAAGGTCAGACCGTTGGGGAGCCCCAAGTCGTCTTTCACCAGCACCGACCGATCCGTCCCGTCCATGTTGGACATCTCGATTTTGGGCCCGTCCCTGTTCCAGTCCGACCAGTAGAGCCGCCTGCGACAACCAGTCAGACCTCAAATACTACTGACCACAGGTGTACCGCCTTCCCAACCACGACTACCTGCTACCTGCTCATCTTCAACCGGCCTTTTACTACCCAAAGACGGCACAGCAGCCGCCCTGCGGCACTCACCCGTACGCCGGGTTGGTGACGATGGCTCGAGGGTTGATCAGGTCCGTGTCGTGGAGGACGCGGCGCCGGCCGCCGTCCAGCTGGGAGACCTCCACGGTGTCGCGCGCGGAGTCGGTCCAGAAGAGGAGGCGGGCCACGTGGTCGATGGCGAGGCCCTCGGGACTCTGGAGCCCTGAGGGACGGAGCGGATGGATCAGCCCCCTCTGACCTCTGATTTGACCTCTCAAAATAAGGCCTTTAACCCGCGGTTTTTTAAACTTGACCAAACTTTTCTTTTTCCGTTGTCCTAATCTAATATTTCTTATGTTTTTAGCGCCATGGTTGATGCATAATTTGCGACGAGGAGACGCACCTGTAGTGACGACCGGGACGACGTCTCCTCCGCTCAGGCGGGCCCGGCTGATGGCCGGCTCGGTGATGTCGGTCCAGTAAACCATCTCCTCCACGCAGTCGTAGGCCACGGCGATCACCACCCGGTCCTGAAGAGGGGAAGCGGGTGGGGGGTGGGGGGGTTCACTTTCAAAAGAGTCTTTTGTGACAGAACTCCATCGGACCCGAAGGCGCCGTGCTGACTGGGGGCTTAGTTTGGCTGCAGCGCATCAATACCATAACTAATGGGCCGGAATATATTAAAGAACAATCAGGCGGATTGTTTCCAGCAACCGGAGACGCTCAATCGTGTGTGCGCACGTTGTTCAGAACGATGAGCGAATGTCGTCATCACATAGAAATTCCTTTTTTCACAAGGAGCTCATTCTCTGTGCATTTACTCTGAAGAAAAAGACTCAATTTTTGTGTCTTTTTTATATTAGCTACATCGGCAGTGAGAGGTCCCGTGCGACGCTTAGCTTAGCACAAACATGACAAGCAACGGCTAGCCCTGCTTTGTTAAGAGAAACCCGTCTCGTCTCTGATTTGCCACAAAGTTTGATTCAATATTCATATGTCCCTGCACATGCATTTCACCATCATCACCATCATATCCACCTTGAGTCCGATACTTTGTTTCAGAACTAATGACATTCCCATCAGCGTGTTTAGTCAGCAAATGCTAGCATGCTAATTAAGTCAACGTCGAATTGAAATCTGCAGCCGTCTCACCGAGAGGTACAGCAGAGGTTTGGCCTCCTCCTGCTGCATGTCGTACCCGTCCAGAGGAACGCGTTCGATCTTCCGCTCTGGGCGAACAGCAGGTGCGTCCCTGACGGGACGGGGTGCACGTCGGGCCGTGGGGTCGGACCCCCCGGACCGGGAGTCACCGCCTGGTCGATACCTGCGAGGTCATCAATCGGGATTTAATGAGGAAAATCCAGAGCGTGTAGAGCGTGTGGAGCGTAAAGGTCATATGGAGTATTTAAAGGAGGTATAGCATGTAGAGGCTTTAGAAGAGGTAGAGCATGTAGAGGAGGAAGGGCGTGTAGAGCGTTTAGAGCATGTCCAGCGTGTAGAGAACGTAGAATGTGTAGAGCATTTAGGGGATGTAGAGCATGTAGAGCGTGTAGAGCGTTTAGGGCATGTAGGGCATGTAGAGCATGTAGAGCGTTTAGGGCATGTAGAGCATTTAGGGCATGTAGAGCATTTAGGGCATGTAGAGCATGTACAGTGTTTAGGGGCATGTAGAGCATGTACAGTGTTTAGGGCATGTAGAGCATGTAGAGCGTTTAGGGGATGTAGAGCATGTAGAGTGTTTAGGGCATGTAGAGCATGTAGAGCGTTTAGGGGCATGTAGAGCATGTAGAGCGTGTGGAGCATTTAGGGGCATGTAGAGCGTGTGGAGCATTTAGAGAATGTCGAGCGTGTAGAGCGTTTAGGGCATGTAGAGCGTGTAGAGCATTTAGGGCATGTAGAGCATTTAGGGCATGTAGAGCATGTAGAGCGTGTAGAGCATGTAGAGCGTTTAGGGCATGTAGAGCGTTTAGAGAACGTAGAGCATGTGGAGCATGTAGAGCGTGTAGAGCGTTTAGGGCATGTAGAGCGTGTAGAGCATTTAGGGCATGAAGAGCGTGTAGAGCATTTAGGGCATGTAGAGCGTGTAGAGCGTTTGGGGCGCCTAGAGCATGTAGAGCGTGTAGAGCATGTAGCCGTTTAGGGCATGTAGAGCGTTTAGAGAACGTAGAGCATGTGGAGCATGTAGAGCGTGTAGAGCGTTTAGGGCATGTAGAGCGTGTAGAGCATTTAGGGCATGTAGAGCGTGTAGAGCATTTAGGGCATGTAGAGCGTGTAGAGCATTTAGGGCATGTAGAGTGGACTCACACAGGTGGGCGCTGCCGGGCCCCATGCGGGTGTTGGGGATCTCCCGTCCGGCGGCGTCCGCACACCAGCACTGGCCGATGGCGGCGTGGCACTGCGTGGACTCGTAGGCCCCGCGCTGGTCGCACTGGGGGACGTAGTGGCCGACGGCCGGCCGGGGGCGGAACGTGGAGGGGAAGCCGGGGGCGGCTGCCCGGGCGCTCTCTCTGTGGCGCTCGCACGCCGTCGCCTCGCGCTCTGGGAACAGAATAAGTAGCACAGAGCGAGAGAAGGAAGAGTTACACGCGTACACTAATCCGGATAGGTTTCTTGACTTTTCACCTACACCTATTCAAACTTGAATAGGTTTTTGTTATCAGAACTATTCTCTTTTCACAGGAGACAAAATCTCAGAACATCTTGTACAGGAACAGAGATAAAGGGGGCTCGCTGACATCTGGAGGAGCCGCCTCCATCTTATCCTCAGGGGTAACCGCGGGCAGCCACAACACGCCACAGCGCCCCGCCAGATAACAGCCCGACCCACAGGGACACCGCGAGAAGAAAGAAGACCCCCCCCGCCCCCCCCGCAGAGAGAGAAGGGGGGCGGTCAGAAGACACCGTGACGAGTTACGACAGTAAATGTACCGCTTTGGCACCTTGTGGTGAAGTAAAAGTGAACGGGCAGAACACAGTAAAATCCGCAGTTCATGTACTTATTCTGAAGGAGAAGTTATGATTTGCCTTCTACTTTACTTATTTACATTTTCAGCTCTCACTTTATTTTTTAACCGTGAACTCATCGGAGTTCTGTTGAGTCTCTCATAAAATCTGTTTACTTTGTCACTTGATCAACATCCGTCGGCGCTCTGCTCCGTCAGTGTTTTGTTACGGTGGTACTTTTACCAAAGTAAAGGATCTGATTTGTTCTTCCCTCTCACATGAAGTAGGAATGTAACATTACACGTTATATATTATACACTTTATCGAAGAAGACCCCTTCCTTCTGGGACATTAGAGAGGATGCAACTTTAAAAGCACATTTGAGCGACGGCCGGAACCGACCGGAGGAGGCGGGGCTGCACTGGAAGCCGTCGCCATGGAAACCGGGATGGCACTGGCAGGCGTAGGAGCCCTGCGTGTTGGAGCAGAAGGCGGCGCTGTGGCATCTGTCCTGCTGACACTCGTCCACGTCTGAAGGGGCGGAAGGGGAGAGGATAGAAAAAGATGAAGAACGAAGGCGGCGGCGCGGAGACTTTAAGGCTCCACTAACGGCCACGAGAGCGCCTGAGAAACCAAATCTAAATAATAATAAACAAAACAAGGATTCAAATACTGAAATTTATGCAACAAACTTTGACAACGTACACAATCTAACAAAATACTGCAACGTTTTGTCTTCTTCTCCTTTTTACTTTTTTGTTATGTTTACACATATTTGTAGTATCGTTCGAGGGGGCAAGAATGATCCTGTGTGATTGTGAGTGAATAACAAGTGAAGACCGGCTGCTCTCTGAGAGAACATGCTAAAGACAAAAAACACCCTGGTCCCTTTCTACTGCTTCCTCTGCACATGTGAACATTCTTTGGCTCGGGGTCTCCTGAGTGGGGGGGAGATGATTTATCCGGGAGAGACGAGCTGCACAGCTGTAAGGCAACGTGCTGCATTTCCTTTCCAGGTGGAAACATTTCCGGCCTGTTTGATACGTTCACCACCGCTGAAGGGTTTGGAATCAGCTGTTACACTGTTGTTTTTCTCCGCTAGGTTAAGAAATGCATCTCAGATAGATAGATGAAAAGATTCGTACAAGTTGAAGACAAAGCTAAACAAGAATCCTTCAGGGGGAAAAACAAAAAACCCAATCAAAAGTTTTCTTTTGTCCCGCCCGTGAACCTTGGATTGGATACCGAAGTCCCGTCTGCCGACTCACCCCGACAGAGCCGGCCGTCCCCCTCGAAGCCCGGCAGGCAGGAGCAGGCGAAGGCGGCGCCCCCGGCGGGGCTGCACAGCGCTCTCTCTGGGGCATCGCAGTCGTGGCTTCCCCCCTGGCAGGGATCCGCCGGGCGCTTCTCCTCTGCGGGGCGACACGCTCAGTGAGGTCAAAGGTCAAAGGCACCCAGGAGCCGAGTTTTGATTGAAAGTTTCAATTTGTACTTCAGCCCTTTTTAACCCTAAATCAGTGCAGCAGCATACTTGAAATTAAAATTAACGAGCGGCTCTTCAAACCAAAAACACCCACACAGACGCACACAGACAGACACACTTAAACGTACCGATGCAGGTCTTTCCGTCGCTGGCGAACAGGAAACCGGCGGAACACTCACAGTGGAAACTTCCGGGCTGATTATTGCAGACGGCGTTGGATCCACAGATCTCTGGAGATCTGCACTCGTCATCATCTGCCAAAAACACACCCGAAAGGGCTTTTAATTCATTACATTTATCCAACAACATCAAGGTGGAACAGACCCTTCAGCTTCTTCAGATTCAGACGTAATCATGAATTACAAATCTTATTATATTAGTCACTCGTCACATCACGGACGGCGTTACCGTGGCAGTAGCGCCCGTCTCCGATGAAACCGGCGGCGCACTGGCAGCTGAACTGGAGGCCTTCGGCCGGGCGGCACGCGGCGTTGATGTCGCAGCCGTGTCGGCCGGTGAAACACGGGTTCTGCTCGGGATCACTGCCTGTAAATACGACGGAATGAAGGAAAGAGAAAAGAACAGGCTGCAGGTTCAGATCAAGAGCAGAAAAACCACCACCTCTGTGTCCTCCTTTTCCCATCATGCAACACCACGCAGATGTTTCACTTCTTACCAGCAGACTCTGGCTGAGTGGTGTTTGCTTGTGTAACTTCGAATCCCCCCCCCCGACCCCTTCACTGGTTCCTATCAACAGCCCCCACTAGCACCGGTACCGTTAACCCTCCTTTTTAATAAAGTCCCTTCCAAGCTGCCCTCCCTCTGTGGCCTGGAGGCTCCTCATCGACCTTCACCCCCCCTGCCAACGCTCCCTCGTCCTCCTCTCGCTGCAGCTGAGGAAACACAGCCGGGCTCAGAGAGCTGTTTGTCTTTCCTGTGATGTTCAAACATCTCAGAGGCACCGAAGCGCCGGGGGTAGGGGGCGTGTCCCGGCGCATACCTCGGGGTAATGACTAACATCTCTAAACGCTCCCCGATAGATGACCGCGGGAACGCCACTGAGCGACGCTAGCGCGACCTCATGGATGTTATATAATTACATTCGTCTCTTCACAGTAAGAAGAGGAGCCGATTTTCTTATAATTTACAAATGAATCGCTATTCATTATTAAAGTTAATTTTCGGGGTCTGAATCCTCTTTCCTGTGTTCCTTAATCCCCCCCCGTCAGGACGCACACTTCGGGTCAAACGCGCGTTTCCTCCCGGCGCTCACCGTGCACCGAGCCGATCTTGTTGCTCGTGGCGTAGCGGATCAGCCGGTTGTGGGCCTCGAACATTACGAAGACGCGGTCCACGCTGAGCTGCTGGGTGGACGGCGCCGCCCCGGAGGCCTCGCCGTGCGCGCAGCCCTCGAAGGTGAGGCTCTGTCGCAGCTGGTAGCTCCTGGTCTGCACCTCGCCGTCGGGGGAGGTGACGGTGTAGTCGCGGTTGGAGGAGGACGCGATCACTGGGAGGAGAGGAAGCGGTCAACTCATGATTGTTTTTCCACCCGTGTAGATCATCCGCTGTGTGTTCCTCCCGGTGCCCTTACGGTTCCTGTCGTACTGGTAGACCTCCTGGTACGGGTTGATCTCGACGGAGGACCCCAGCGGGACGGCGGGCAGGCGTCCCTCCAGCTCGGTGTCCACCACCAGGTGGTCGTGTTCGTCGATGCCTTTGAACTGCTGCGTGATGGTCAGCCGCTCGTTGCCGGGGTGGAAGGTCACCTCGGCCTGCCGGGAAAACCGGCCGCCTGCGTGGACGCGGGAGAGAGCGCACGGCCGAGCGTCAGGAAGCGCAGTTCACGTCCACGGACCGAAGAAGAACAGCACAACGGCAACTTACCGATGAGGCTGAAGCCGTTGCGGTGGCCGGGCTGCTCCAGGGCGAAGGCCCAGCCGATCACGCCGCCAAGGGGCGTCAGCGGCAGCATGGAGGGGCCCAGGGCGTCGGGGATGTTGCTGATGGCCACGGAGGCCCGCCCGTCGTTCACCACCATGTACGAGTGCAGGTCGTTGTTACTGAGCTCGACGGCGGAGGGCGAGTTGCCCACGAAGACTCGGCCGCTCACTTTGCCGTTCATTCTCTGTGGTTTGCCTGGGAAGCAACAAACCTGATTACCAGTCAGAATCGCAGCTTCGGCCACGGGTTGAGACGAACAAACCAAGTCCCGCATTGTCTTTGGTTAGCTTCTGATTAACTGGAATTGATGCATTCTTTCCATATTTTGAGATAATGGCCAATCTACTATTGATTGATACTTGACCGCAAAGTAGAGTCTGCAGATACGAGTTCTGCGGACGATCTGTACGAATAACCTCAAGCTCGGCTGATACGTCTTTGGATATTAGTAACAATTATTGACGCTGAAAGTGCTTCTCACCCTCAGCTACGCAGTCCTTCCCGTTACCATAGAAACCCGGCCTGCAGTGGCAGCAGTACCCGTTGCTGTAATCCCGACAGTCTGCGAAAGCCGAGCACTTGAGCCGGTTGTGGGCGCACGTCTCCGAATTGTACGCAAAAACTGTAAAAAACAAAACAAAAGGACAGCCAATCAAGGCAAATGCCAAAAAAAACACCTTTTGATGTGATTTAAGAATCAAACGAAATGTTCAAGCTTTTTACCGGTCACGTCGAGAGCTTCCTCCTCGTCTACCACGACGATCTGGGGTTGCTGGGGCCGGGAATGGCGCGGTACTGGTTGGACTAGATCAGGGTGCGTCGGGTCGACTGGAGAGTATCTCGGCTCGTTGGTTTCAGGGTCCAGATATCTGGGTTGGGAAGGCTCAGAGTCGGGGTACCTCGGCTCAGAAGGGTCTGGGTATCTTCGTTCAGCCTTTTCGGGGTCGGTGTACCCTGGAGTGACTGTCTCCGATTCAGAGAATTCAGGCTCAAACTGACCAGTTCCTTCATAATCTTCAGTTGTCGGTTCTGTGTACCCTGGAGTGATGGTCTCAGGTTCTGGGTACTCAGGCTCAAATTGACCAGGTCCTTCATAATCTTCAGTCGTCGGTTCTGTGTACCCTGGAGTGATGGTCTCAGGTTCTGGGTACTCAGGCTCAAATTGACCAGGTCCTTCATAATCTTCAGTCGTCGGTTCGGTGTACCCTGGAGTGATGGTCTCAGGTTCTGGGTACTCAGGCTCAAATTGACCAGGTCCTTCATAATCTTCAGTCGTCGGCTCGGTGTACCCTTGAGTGATGGTCTCAGGTTCTGGGTACTCAGGTTCAGATTGACCAGGTCCTTCATAATCTTCAGTCTTCGGTTCGGTGTACCCTGGAGTGATGCTCTCAGGTTCTGGGTATTTGGGTTGATACTCGGTCGGAGTCACCTCCACAGCAGGCGTGGTGGCTTCCTCCTCCTCTTCAAGTAAGCCAGTGACCGTTCCTGGTGCAATGGCATGAAAGAACGGCGAGGAGCCGATCTCGTACACCCAAACTCCATTCTGGCCTGAGTTTGTCTTTCTAGTTGGATCAAAGAGGGAGAAAAAAATCAGCCGCGAGGACAGGACACTGTCACTAGTTGCGTTCTATTCAAGCACAAATGGCATTCGATTCATACTCGGCGAGGTCCCTGACGGAGGTCTCCTCGTCTGTGGTGGTGCGGAAGTAAGTCCCCTGCGAGTCCTTCCAGAACCAACCCGCCACGAGGCCTTGGTTGAAGCCGGCCTCGAGGAGCTTGTTCTCGCCCCCTACCGACGTGGAGACAAACTGCAGACCGCTCCGGGGATACAAGAGGATGGCGCAGGAGGACGACTCCATGGAGGCCACCACCAGCTGGAAGGTGTTTCTCTGAAAGTACAACGGGGGACACTGTTAGTTTTAAGGCACTGCATCCGTGTCTCCACAGCCCCCCCATAAGTCCATTATATTGCATCAAAAAGTCTCCCTCACCTTTGTGCCCAATCCGTCTCCTCGCCCGGTTGTCCCCCGGGCGGCCATGTTTTCCCAGGTGACCACCAGGGCGGCGGTGGGCTCCACCCCCTCGTCTCTGGGGAAAGCTCGGCTGACGTACTCCGCGGCTCGGCTCAGGACCTCCGGGCTGCTGTCCCACCTGAAATGGACCTTTCCCTGTCCGTCGCTGTCCTCCAGGTCTCCGAGCAGCGCTGCAATCATTCCGAAACCGGCAGGCATCTTCCCCAGGTACTCCTGCTCCTTCGGGGGCCCGTCGAAAGACACCAATCCGTTGGTGTTTATCTGGAAGAGAAGAATAGTACGGCTTCATTTTCATACTATGATTTATGATCCTCAGTAGGCAACATTGTCCTTACTTTTGTTACGACGTATGATGCAATAATAATACCTAACTAACGCATTCAAAAAAGAAAAATGTAATAATTATGGTTTAGTATGTCATATTTATGAGATTATGTTACCGTTAGCAGCTCTAGCCAGTGCGTTCATTGAGGCTAATTATTAATAAAGAATTTGTATCTCTGACAAACGTTCTCATTCCCAGGAGATTACGAGAAGAGGAAAAAGGTTTTTCTTTTCTTCCATAGTTTGACTGGATTGTTGACATGCTAGTGGAGGGTACCGACAATGAAGGAATGGAGATACAGAGAACGGTGACATAGACAGCTGGGATTTCTCCACTCAGAGATGGAGAGGTCGAGACCTCCGGGTGGAACCTCCAGTAAACCTTCGGATCTCCACTCTTCTGCGGCTCGGCTCGCTTTGTTGAACAGCAGCAATATAGTAAGAAGGAAAAGCCTGTTGAAGGTAAATATCTCTATGGCTGCACATGTGTTGTGTAGAAATACCACTTCTACGTTTGCGTGATCCAACTCCTTTTTTTTTTAACTCTAGCTGACAGCAGAATGTGGCTGCACCACCACATCATATGAAACATCAAAGATTTCCTGCAGATCTTTCAGCCCCATCACAGGACATTGGAAGATAGGCATCACTCTAAAGCTCTTTATCATTGTACACATCATGAAGCCCTTTTGGTTTGGGGGGCTACGGGACGGGGGGGGTTTAAGCTGCCGAACATGCAGCAACTTGCAAGTGTAACAAAGCAACACCTAAAACTACTGCTAAACAAAAGGTTGCTGTTTGAAGGCTATACAGATGGGGGGGTTTTTCATCCGTAAATAATTATAATAAATATATTATGGGGGGGGGGGGTCAAAGGTCGAAGGCTTCGGGCCCTCTAGAAAACATGAAAGAAGTAACCTGGTGGCTAGCGATGACACCGTGAGTTGAAGAAAGGGATGAAATAAGAGCGGAGAGGAAAAAGCCCGTCCTGCTCGGCTGCCCTCTGTAAAGCCCGGGGGGATTAGGCCCAGACGTTTCCCCGGGGGGGGGGTTTCACTGCAGAGACTTCCGGAAAACGCATGAGCGGCAGCAGCGTGCGGGCGGGTGAGAAGGCCGGTGTCTCCCAGCAGGTCTCTGACTTTAGAGAGGGAGACCCCAGCGGAGCCGAGGACACTTCAACAGGAAGCCTTTTGTCCCGAGCGCTAAGCGAGCTAACCGCTAACGACTAACGACCCCCCCGGGAGGCCTTTATGAGTCCAGGCGGATGGGGGGGGACGAGCTTTGTCTCCAACATTTAACCATTTTAAACTGCGTTTTCACCCATTTTGAGAATATATAATGTTGAATTAATTTAAAGATAATCAGTCGAAAAACACTAAACAATTTAATTTTCGGGAATTCAATTTCCAGTGCGTTTCCTCACAGGGAGCCAGCTCGTCAAAAAGTGATGTAGCAAAGGATTATGGGAGTTCTCTTCACATTCATTTATTTAGTGTTTAGGAGGGTTTTAGCAGGAACAAAAATAATATTGTCTGTTTTTCTTTGACTTAAGATTCATGCGTTTGATGACTAAAATCATTCGTTCGGGTAAATAGAAACAAGAGAGTGCTCCACAGTACAGAGGTACCCCAAGAACTATTTTCCTACGTCATCCCCATTAAGAAGAATTAAGGCCCAAACGGAGTGGTTTTATTTTGAAAAGGTCTAGCTGCTGTTACACATTTTCCAATGGAAAAGTTACATGCAATACCCCTCTTGTTTTATTTGTAAAGCTACTGAACACACAGTCTTCCTCTCGGCGGCGGATTCACAGCAGCTAGTGGCCCATTCGTACATGTAGTAAAGCAACCGGTGTCTGAGGACCCGCCGGGACGTCGCTGACATCACTCATGTCCGACCCCTGAGATCATCGCTATCAGTGTGAGAACAGCGGCGGGCCGGAGACACACTGAGCCTCGCCATCTGGTTTTTTTTCGGAGGACAGATGTCTCCCGTCCACACGTTACAGATGTGGAAACTGTGGGGAGGAGGCGCTGCTTCCTGTCGAGGGCTTAAGGAAAACCTCCTCGGCAGCAGCAGCCGGATGATAAGACTGAGCGTCAGTTTGAAAGTTTAAGAAAGCCTGAGGTGGAGTGCTGATAATTTAGGGGGGGCACCAGGAGGCTTCTTCCTCTTCTGGGGGGAAGTGGGGGGGGGGGGGGGGTGGGGGTATAGTTAGAGGCACTTGAAAGAGGGGGCGTGTGCGTTATGGAATGCAGACTCACATGCGACCGACTACAGCTTCACACCGCGGGAAACTCCAGCAGAGGAGGACTGAGAAGCCTTTTATTCTGAAAATCTCCATCATTGAAAACTCAAACCGGCAGTATTTTAAATTCTTTAAATGTTCGATTCCATTTGATGGTGCAGCCTTAAAACTATGTAACTCCTACTTAACAAACTTTAAAAAAAACTACCAAGAAAATTCACAATATTCCGTATCATTTTATTGTGAAAGGAACCCCATACTTTTTATTTTCCTACACGCTAACATCGGCGCCGACGTGGTCACACGTCTGTGGTTAAATAAACGTGAGACGCGGCCTCTTGTTTCAACAGGAGGATACAAAACAAATGGTGCAGCGATTGAAACACACTGTGCGTGCGTGTGTGTGTGTGCGTCTGTGTGTGTATGTGTGCGCGCGTTTTGGCCGCTTGTGCAAATTATTTAAATTCTTGATTAGTCAAAAGGTAGAGAACGGACAGACAGTCCGTCACGCGTGTTTTTCTACATCGGATGAGTTCAATCTTCCTACATCGCGTTACCATTTAGGACATAAAGCTCACTCAACGTGGACTTTGAGTGAGACGACTACACGAGACTCAGAGCAGCGTTCAGAGCTTTTACCCAGAATTCTTAGCAGCGTGAGAGCTGTACAGGAAGGATCGTCGGGGTGCCATCGGTGGAAAACACTTTTTTTTGGCGGTGTCGGGGGGGTTTTAGCCTGTTTATGTCGACCCAAGAGAGATTAGAGGTCTCCTAGAGGAAGGCCCAGCTGATGTTTGTATCAGTGTGTGTGTGTGTGTGGGGGGGGGGCGGGGGGGGGGGGACCAGCTGGATTCATCTGTGAGGGGTACAGGAACCGGGGTTTGACACGTTATCGGGTAACGCTGCTGGGAATCTGAAAGATGAGAATCCCACAGCACATGGCAGACTGGACGCAGGATGTCATTCAGGGGCCCCAAAATATAATAATAATAATAACTATAATGTCTTGACGGAGCGATCTGTGTGGTCCTGTTGTTTTAACGCGACCACTGCAACGGTTGACAAATGGTGCAGTGACTGAAACAAGGAAAACATGACTTTTCTCCCTCTTTTAGCTCTGCTTTGGGTCTCTACCATCTGTTGAGGGAAATGCCTTTGACACCATGCGAATGAGTCGAGGGTCGGACGGATAAACTCTGAACTGCGACTCACTGTGAAGCTCCGTAAAAGTCGAGGAGACCGAGGGACCAACTGAGAAATATAACGAAATAGAACATGTGACCCCAAGTTTTGTTGGAACACAATTTAGTAATATGCAAAAGTAATAAACGTTTGACAAAGGCTTCTTCTACTTTGCATTTAGTTTGCTTTAACGTTTATTTATCTTTATTGCACAAATTCCATGAGGAAAGTAGCATACCTAAATACCTAAAACAGCTGAAAATCAAAATCAACTCTTTTTTTCACTCCTTAAGGCGATGAAAACAAATTGGAAACCCGTTTCACACCTTGTGTAGATGCTCCAATCTGGATTAGCTGTCACGTGACCTGAAGAATGCATCCTGAGAGCATATGTGTGTGTGTGTGTGTGTGTGTGTGTGTGTGTGTGTGTGTGTGTGTGTGTGTGTGTGTGTGTGTGTGTTTGTGTGTGTGTGTTGATGTAAAAGCTTTATTTGTTTGGGTCTGCATTGAGTCACAATCCCAGCCTCTGCTCACATATACAAAGTGGACCCAACACACTGCGTCAGCTAAATGAGACGACTAACACGTTTATTATTCTCACCTCTTCTTCCTCGTCATCAAATAATGACAGAGGCGCCTTGCTGGTTTTGCCCTGGCTTGTAGGCTCAGGCTTAGACTGGCTCTTAATGGGAGATCCCTATGGACGGCAAATACACAGTGTAATTAAGTGTATCTCTTCTGTTATCACTTCCTTTCTAGTGAAGTGAAGGGAGTCGTACCTGTGTGTCTTCATCATCAGAAAAGAGGCCTCTCATCTGAGGCTTCTGGGTCTGCTTCACAGCAGCCTTAGTATGATCTGGAGCCGGTCCATTCTATATGCATAACATGAAGATGAACATTTAATATGAATAGTTTTCTAAAAT